AATTATGATAACAAATTTCATATTACAGTTTTAATTTTTGTGCACATGAGCTACTAATTTAACTTATAATATTTCCCGGAGCAGAAATGTAACATGAATAAAACACGATTTAAAATCCATTTCTGTGGATTTACATGTTGGAGTCAAAAGGTTTTTACAGTGGGAGGTTTGTTTTATCTGCATCATGAATCAGGAAATACTTTTACAAAAAGAAATTCAATTCTCACAGTGTTTTTTTTTTTTTAATGAATGAGGTGTTTTATAAATATATGAATGGAAACACTGAGGTGCAGATTTTATGCTCAAAATATGATTTTTTTTTTTTTTAAACTGACCTTGAGATATAAGTAAAATATAATTCCTTTTATTTTTGTATTGGAAGCAAATGTTGACAGGTTACATCATTTAACTGACACGTCACACTGAGGAAATGTTTATCTTTTATTAGCTGATTTCAATAAATGTCCAACAGAACAAGTAACGACCATAATTTGCATTTCAGGCGCTTTATTTAACCTTCAGAATAAAAGCCCCGCAGTAACAGCTTGCTGCCAGTAGGAGGTGTGATGTTCCACCAATGGAGAGACTCCTTTTAACAAGCCTGTGTCATTTCAGGTCAGGTGTGTGTGTGTGTGTGTGTGTGTGTAAAATCAGGTACAATAAAAGTCAATTACTTATGAAGATTTCAATCATTAGGAATATTAAACATCTAATACCATCATCTAATAATGTTGCGTGGAACCCGTGTAGCTCCAAATTGCCCGAGTTTTCATTAGCTGAGAAAGACCTGCTCACTCCTCCTGGAAATACATTTTTCAGTTAACATAATGACTTTTAAAATAATTGATTCTAATTAAGAGGAAGGAGAATTTTCTCAACCCGTAGAGGAACCATTAAACTCTGAATTAATTTTAATAATTTAGTGATGCATGCTTTACAAGTGGTAAAATAAAGACGTCTAATACAACATATATTAGATATGTGGCATATCCTAATATCACTATTTGCATGACTGCAGTTAGAAGTTGAATTCGTGCTCACAGATGCTACATGGCACTTTTCTACTTATTTGTTTTAAAGATTATTGATTGAGTGATGATGCCTCATGTTAATGATCAGGATTATAATGGAGGGATTATGTCATTTAGATGAGCACTGATGACTGTGCTGACTTTATAAATGTATATTGATGAAGATGACAGTGTGAACCCCTCTTACATTCAAATCTGAAAACATTAGCGAGGTACACGTGGATTAGCTGGAGAGTGTGCATGTTTGTCCACAGATTCTGTCACCTGCATAAAAGCGACAGAGCTTCAATCAGTCGGAGCTCGTTTTAGATCCTCGTCAGCTCAGAAACATGTTTGGGTGCAGAGGTAATAATAAGCTTCACAGTTTTCCCAGTGCAGCTGCTCTAAACACACTCATTCATGCACATTTTAACAAATTAGCAAAGGCTAATGGTGAAGCCTCATTAACCAAAACATCATCTGCGCTCACATAAACTCACTCTGTTGTGGTGTATCTGCACAAGCACTCGGTTTGATGTGAAACCTCATCAGCAGCTGTTCAGTAAGAGAACAGGAGGAGGACAAATCAGACTAACTGCAATAAGAGTGATGCTTCAGTTTGTTTAAGTCACCCTTGTTCCTGCAGATTCTACTGAGTCTATTAAAGAATCTATTAAACGAATCTCACTGCGTCTGCATTTCTCTGCTGGTGAATATTCTTTTATTCATTTGACTCGTCAGATACCCCTGCAGATACTTTTGTCCCTTCTGACGCTCCGTACAAAGAAAGTGTGCGGGGAATCCAGAGGAGCTGTCCGGACCCGCGTGGTGCTGAAAGCGTCAGCTGGAAGGTTCCACTCGGGTTCCTCTCGGGTTCCTCAGCAGAGCTAGACTTAACCGAACAATTAAAAGACATTTCTGAGTCATTCGCAAGAAATATCCTTTAATTGTAAGGTCACGTGTAGCAGTCTTGCACGCAGGGTGGCAGCCATCCACAGTCCGTCACAGCCCCGGTTCACCTGGAATGACATCGGGGGAGAGGTCATGACGTCACAGTGGCACAGTCACAGTCAGTGGTTTCAAGTCGCCAGAAAACTCAGAGTGACGCGTGCAGTGGAGGCATCCTCCCCACGGTGTGAGAGAGCCGCAGCTTCAGGGCTGCTGGGAGACACTCACCTGCCTTCATCACTCCCCTCCTCTCCCTCGCAGCGTGTCTGTGCCACGGTGCGTCCACGCATAAATAAAAAATAAAATAAAACCAAACCCCACGAGTCTCCGCGTTTGGTTCTTTCCCGCTCCGTTTCTGTAGAGCCTCCACTCAGCGCTGTGGGAAGATTTTACGCACGCCGCGACGCCCAAAACCTGTGTGTGAGACACCCGGAGCTCTGAGTACGTCACGGGTTACAGGTGTTGCGGTTGCGAGGGAACCGCTTGAAAGAGGAACTTGTTTGGTTTTTAGGGTGGTGTAAGCCTCCGACAGTGCGCAGCGCGTCACCCACGACCTATCCAAGCCGCCCGGAGGAAGCGCAGATCCGAGCTGCTGCTCCACTCCAACACATTCATTCATACAAACCCACGCAGACCCACGAGAAGCACGAGACGTTTGCGACAGAGGAGCCGCGTGCTCTTCGTCTTTCTGTCACCAGAGAGCAAAAAGAAAAACGCGACACATCGCGCGGGTCTTGGATTTACGCACGGACACCGCGGTCAGAGTCACGCGACGTGACCGAACGACACGCGGGCAGCACGGTCACCGCAGCGGCCGCGGAGTGTCCGTGAACTCCGGACGGAGGGAAGAGCGCGCCGGGCTGTCGCGAGTTCATCACCGGCTCCACTCCCCGCTCGGGTCGGGTAAAGACAAATAAAAGCGAGCCACGACCCACGAGTCACGAGGCAACTTGCCACCAAGCCAGAGTCCAGGGCGCCACCACCTCCGCACGTCTCCTTCGCGCTGCGCTCTCATCCATCCCTCCATATCCATCTCCAGCCCTCGCCTCTCTTTTCTCCGGTCTGGCTTACAGCGCCGTAGATAGAGGCTCCGCAGTCACGTGGGTCGGAGGAGAGGAGAGAAGGACCGGGAGAGAGCGAGAGAGAGAGAGAGCGCGCGTCCCTCCTCCTCCTCCTCCTCCTCCGCAGTTTGCAGTGTGTTATGTCTCATACTCGGAGGTAGAGAGTCAGAGCTGCTCGTCCGGCGGATCTCAACCTCTGAATCCAACCCCCGTGTCTTCTCTCATCCTTCCCCTCTCCCCTTCTCGCTCACCCGGGTTGCTTTCTCTCCGGAGCCGCGGGAGCTTCTACGTCTTCTTTCTCTCGACTTCGGCCAACAGTTTGCTCTTTTTGGATTTGGGTTTTTCTTCTTGGACGTTTTGATGAGTACTCGCTGCTGATTTCACTCAGCACTGCTCCTCGCTGCTGCCGCTGCTGCTTCTGCCGCCGCTGCCGCTTTTACGCACCGACGCTTATTTTGGATTTGCTCGGCAGCACCGCTGGAGAAAAACGGAGAAAGACAGTAAGAAGCAAGAACAGCGAGGTGGATCCGTGGATGCGCCCCTTTGGCTCACGCTGGAGATGGAAACGCTGATATTGTTATTTCATTCCCTGTGGATATTGCAATGCAACACTGTGAGCGCCGACTCCATCATTCACATCGGTAAGAACCGGCCGGGGCGCCTCTCCTGCTGCAGGCAGAGCCGTGCCCACGGCTCCACGCACGAAGGGAAATTTGCTGTTTTAAGTTGAGTCGCTGAAGAATTTCAGTGCTGAGTTTTCGGTGCTGATTTTCAGTCAGTCAGCCTCTTCTTCTCCGGCGAAAAGAGACTCGACCTCACAGCTGATTATCGTTCCGATCCGTGCCAGGGTAACGTGTAGGGAAGGGGGGGGGCTGTTGCATCCAGCCTCAGACCCACGCAGCGCAGACCTGCTAGAAGTGCCCGCAAAGTGTTGCGCCGCGCCATCCCACCACCCCTGCATCTCATCCACAACCCCTCCATCCTTCCCAGAGAAGGATGCGTAAAAAACCCAAACCTGAGGCTGGCAGGAGAATCTGGCCCGACGTGGGTGTTTGGAGGGTTTAGTTTCACCCATCCGCCTCCCCCTCTCCTTCTTCCTCCTTCACCCCCCTCCCCACTCCCTCGCACCCCCCTCATCTATAAGCCTGAACTTTGAATTGGACGTGAGTGAAATGTTAATAAAGCGCTAGGGGAAGAGATGACAAAGGGGACAAACACCGACTGTTCGGGCTGTGAGCGCCGCTCTCTGCTCGTGCGTCCTTCTTGATATGATAATCCGGAGATTTTAGTCGAGACTTTTTTTTTCTTTCTGTTTTTAGTCGAAAGAATTGAGGGAGGATGCAGTGAAGTCAGTGAGAGGGGGAAGGCTGAGACAAACTCACAGCAATCACGCACTTTTCACTTAAACTCCCCAGTTTGCACTAATTCCACTCAGAGGCTCCGCTCGGCCTTGAGGTGGTTGGATGCAGCACGCCTGCAAACCAGTTTAGAAAAGGAGAAATTTCAAATATTAAATAAATAAATAAGAGTGATCAGGTCTCTCCTGCAGCTTCGGCCATCAAACAGGGCCGGCAGCAGCACTGCGGTGGCCTCATGGTTGGAGCCAGGAGAGGGAAGAGAGAGAGAAGCGGATGTGGTTGGAGGAGGTTGTAGAAAGAGCAGGGGTTGGTGGTGTGTGTGTGTGGGGGGGGGTTAGAGCTATTGAGTCTCAAATGAATGCACTTCCTACTTGACTCTGTGACATGTTGCTTCTGAAACGTTGCATCTCCATTAAGAGAAAACTAAAATGTCATTCCTGCTGTGATGAAAACATCACACACACACACACACACACACACACAGCACTAACATGAGGTGAGTCTTCGTTTCAGCGCTGAGATGGAGATGGCTCATGTGGCAGATTGCTTTGTGTGCCAGCTCTTTAGGTTTGGCTTCGTCCTTATTTGTACACGCACAGATGACACTTAGAGGAATTAAAACCTGTTGTTGGCCATTTTTCAGCAGCTCCTCGTTCGCCACAGAATGAATCTCAGAGCGTAGACGGAGGGCTGCACAGATGGACGGCTACTTCACTGTCCCTCGGGAGAAAATCTGGATTCACTCGGCTCATGGCAACGAGAGAGAACAGCGATACCAGATTATCCACAACACAGAACAGTAAATGCAACAAATCAGGGGTAGGATGAGGGGGTGGGGGGGTGATGCCAGTCAGAGCAGGCGTGAACATGCAGCTGGTGCTGCTGCCGTTATTTATGAGCAAATTTGGGAGCTAAACGAAGAAAAATAGAAGCCATAAGAGTCCACTCCTTCCACACAGAGTAGTTTAGAGAATCAGAGCTGCAGGTAGAAAGAAGCTCAGTTCTCTCCACGCGAGGAGGAGCTCGTGTCCAGCCGACAGAACAATGAAAATAAATGTTGCAACTTGTGAGTGTGAATCTCGCCTGCAACCTCTGGTGTGTTGTTGCGTGTCCATACCTGTGGTGGAGTCCTGCAGATTCTGCTTCACAGATACGTGAAGATTCTTTGTTGACCAGGATGTGCGTGAACTACTCTTCAAACCAGAGTCTGAGTTTCCTGCAGGCTCGGCCCCCGCCTGCCTGCTAAAACAAGTCATATGCATTATCAGAAAATCTTCCTTGATCCCTGCACAAGCGTTAGCACAGTTATTGATCGTCTGTGGGTTTATTTATTCTGCCACAGTTTTGTATAAACCTTCCTGCCTGGTGCTACGAGGCTTCCCGGACGCACAGTTTAAAGGCTTTACAGAGAACAACAAAATCTATGAAGAGTTTTAGCTTTCATACGACTACACTCGGTTTTATCGTTCATCCAGAGAACCAGTGATGCTCTTCTTCTTTTATTGCCATGAAGAGGCACTTGTGGTGTCTGGTTTAGTTAAGACTTAAAGTTTTGGTTATTCCCTGGTTTCCTGTTTTATTTTGAAAGTATTTCTTGTGTAACTCTTCATTGGCTTCCTGTTTCATTTCCTGGCTTTATAATTGTCTTTCCCACCCTAACTGTTTGCACCTGTGCTTCCTCATCCCTGTGTGGGTTCATACTGAGCCTCGTCTCACCTGATTTGATTGTAGTTGCACCGTGTCGGACGCTTTGGCTCATCCTGCGTTTCCTGTTTCGTGAGCTCCTTTCTGTAAGTTTAATTAAAGCTATTTTGGGATTTTTCACACCAGACAGTCGGCCTCTTTTGTGGCTGCACCTGGGTTTGTTTTGCAAAATTATTCTCATTATTCTTCTTTTTAAATCAGAAAAGACTTTAACGTTGGTTGATCTGGGAGCTAACAGGGTTTGTGGCCAAGTCGGTGTGTAGGGGAAAAAGCTGAAAGGCAGGTGGCAGTGGAGGTGTCATGGAGAGTGACGGCTTCACACTGCAGAAACTTTGGACTTACAGATGTTTCAACCAGGAATCACTAAGAGTTGGATTTGAATCAGAGGGAGGCTCTGGCACACTGGCTCTTATATCCACTCCACAGCATCAGGTCCCGTTTGAATCCAAGTAGACTTAAGTGGGTTATAAGCACCAGTGGAGGGTCACTAACCCCACAGCACCTGCTTTGTGTCAAACATGGAAGAAATGCCACAGATTATAAATTATGTGCGATTATTTGAGGAAATTCACATAAATAAAACAAAGAAAAATGCTTTTGGTGAAGCTTGATATATGATTTTGTTTTTAAAAATGCTTTTAGTGTTTATTTTTCTATAAATTCTAATAATAAAGAACAACAAGGAGGACGAGAGTGAGGCAGAGTGATGTTAGATGCGCTGAAGCTCCTGTTTCTGAGGTGAGGACGTGCTGTGTTTGCACTTTTCCCCTTAATTAAGAGACCCTTCAAAAAGTGTGACTCAACATGATGTTGCAATCATCAACGAGTGAGAGACTGTAGGGGCCGGATTGTCACTTTTGTGTCTGCTATTGATCGCAGTGCATTTGATGGCTCAAAATGTCTCATTGCAAATCATAACCCAGCGTGAAAAATGATCGTTGTTGCAGCTTGTTTCCACATCAAAGACCCTTAAATGTGCACAAATGTGTAAACATACAGTAAAGACAGATTGGACTCATCCTTGCAGATGCAGACACTTTGTCTGATTGTGTCGCTCGGCTCCCGTCGTTCCCTGAACCTTCTGACAGTCTGGCTCGGCAGCAGAGCTGAACCTAGATCAGATGTGACACGTTCCACTGTGGGCCCCTGAAACCTCTGCCCGAGCATCTGTCTCGTCCGGCCGCGCTGCTTATCGTCGGTGACATATCCCGGTTTGTTTGTCCCTTCCTCTCTGCTGCCTGTAGTGGCTCAGTGGCAGGCGGAGGGTGTCGCAGGACGGAGGGTTGATCTGTGGAAAAGCCGATTCGGATGAAACGTGAAGGTTTGTGGCCTTCGCTCAACCTGCTTCAGCCTTTGACCCACTTAATATGTCTGTGGGCATTTGCGCAGTAAAATCCTGCTCTGCGAGGTCCGAGGCCGGGCAGCTTTTCGTCTCATCTCCTCCCACCAGCAGCTGGCTGCTCTAATTAGCCCCGCCCTCCTTCCTCTTTGGTTGAATGTGCACAAAATCAGTGAAAACAGCTGCCTGGGAAGGAAAGCTATGGTCAAGGAACATCAGTTTGTCTGATTGGAGGTCAGGGGCAGGAGCTGCAAACAGGTGGGGCTGGAATTAATGTTGGCCTTTAATTAAACATCAGACATCAAGCTGTCGGCGAGCTACAGTCCTGACAGGATGGCTGCTCTCAGAGGCCTCATGCAAACATCTCTTTTCAGAGGAGAGGAAGGTGAAATCTTTATGAAAAGAGAGAAAATATCAGGTTGTCAAAGCTCCGCAGACGCGCCCGCAGACCGATGAATCAGCCATGTTGAGACAACATCGAGTTGTTTGTAGGAAACATGACAAACATTTGTGTCTGACAAAACTCGACAAATACATTCGTTCAGCTCACTCAGAGAGGAGAAGCTCAGCATATCCCATTTGTTTATGTTTAATAGATAAAAGATATCTTCGTTCAGCTGAAGGGAAATTTGAAACGCCGCAGCTCACAATAACATTTCAGGTCAGCGTCGGAGTTCCTGTTTCAGCGCAGCGGAGCACAAATCATCAGTTTAGGTTTGTGTGATTTGTAAAGTCCCACGTTCCCCCAGCGGGGGGTCGCTGCACGCATTCAAACTGAAGTGAAGGCTTCAACGTGCTTTTCTTGGCTCATCTTCACAGCTGATGAGTGGATCGCCATCCTCGCAGAGACTCGTCCTGTTATTGGTTCATTCCTTTTTCTTCTGTCACAGAGTGCTTTCTCAGAGGTCATCACTGCACAGGTGCTGTTTCCTCCTCATGTGTTGCTTTTAGCAGCAGAAGCTCGTGCAGGTGGCTTCATTTTGTTTTTCCATTCCAATATTTTCCTCGCAGATTTGAGGCGACACCTTTGTTACAGTCACCTGCTCAAACACCAGTTAGACCATATTATCATCCGCTTGGTGCGGCGAGCGTGTACCCACCACTGTCTGTTTTTCAGTCTCGTCATAAAACATCTTTATATCTGGTGGTATTTCATTGTAATGGTTTTTTAAACTGGTCGTTGTGTGAAATCAAAACAACGTGAAGAAGGAGCAGAGGCAGGGATGAGGTCATACTTTAC